AGCCACCCCAGGTGTCCCCAAGAGGCCCCAAAAGCCACCTGAGAGGCCCCAACAGCCACCCCAGGCGTCCCAGATGTCCCCAAAAGCCACCCCAGGTGCCACCTGAGGCCCCAAAAGCCACCCCAGGTGTCCCCAAGAGGCCCCAAAAGCCACCTGAGAGGCCCCAACAGCCACCCCAGGCGTCCCAGATGTCCCCAAAAGCCACCCCAGGTGCCACCTGAGGCCCCAAAAGCCACCCCAGGTGTCCCCAGGTGTCCCCAAGCCCCCCAGACCTGCTTGAGGTGGTCGACGGTGAGCGGGAGGTGCTGCAGGGTGAGCAGCAGCTGCTGCAGGAACGGGACGTTGTTGGCGGCCTTGGAGCCCGTCAGCCACGTGTTGAGCAGCTTGTAGCCCCCGATCCGGATGAACCTGAGGGGGAAAAGTGGGAATTCTGGAAGGATCCATCTGGGAGAAACTCAATTCCATCAAAATCCATCAAAATCCAGCCAAAATCCAAAAAAAATCCCCTCAGAATCCACCTAAACCCAATTAAAATCCATTTTTCTGTGTGGTTACTTGGCCAGGGTGAGCCTGAGGGGGAAAAGTGGGAATTCTGGAAGGATCCATCCGGGAAAACCTTGATTCCATCAAAATCCATCAAAATCCAGCCAAAATCCAAAAAAAATCCCCTCAGAATCCACCTAAACCCAATTAAAGTCCATTTTTTTCTGTCTGGCTACTTGGCCAGGATGAACCTGAGGAGAAAAAGTGGGAATTCTGGAAGGATCCATCTGGGAGAAACTCAAATCCATCAAAATCCACCCAAAATCTGAAAAAAGTCCCCTCAGAATCCACCAAAACCAAATTAAATTCTGCTTTTCTGTGTGGTTACTTGGCCAGGGTGAGCCTGAGGGGAAAAAGTGGGAATTCTGGAAGGATCCAGCCAGAATCCATCAAAATCCACTCAAAATTAACTCAAAATCCCACTTTTCTCTGTGATTCCTTGGCCAGGATGAATCTGAGGGAAGAAATTGGGAATTCTGGAAGGATCTGGCCAGGAAAACCCCGAGGCCACCCAAATTCACCCAAATCCACCCAAAATTCACCCAAAATCCCACTCACTTGTTCAGGATGTCCTGGGCCCGGGTCTGCAGGAGGATGTTCAGGTAAATGCAGCGACTCACCATCTTCTGCGAGTCCTTCATGAGGCTGATTAACAACAATTAATATTAATTATTAATGTTATTAATACTAATTAGTTGTTAATTAAAAAAAAAAAAGGGATGGGAGCTCCAAAAATGGGCGTTCTGGGGGTCTCACCTGAATATTTTGGAGATGCCATCCATGGTTTTGACCTCCCCATCCCGGCCCAGGAAACAATCGAGGCCCTTGAGGAGCTCCTTGGGGTCGATGGGGCCGGAGCCCATGGCAGGAACAGCCTGGAAAAATGGGAAGAAACGGGAAAAAATGGGAAAAACCATGAAAAAACAGGGTTAGGAATGTGGGGAGAGTTGGGAAAATGACGGCACGCAGAAATTCCGGGGGTAAAACGAGGGAGGAGAGCAAAAGCGGCACGGAAAAAAGGGAAATTTGCCTTAAAAAGGAGGAAACCAACCTGAAAAAGCTGGAAAACAACCCCAAATATGGGGAAAGGGCCCCTAGAAAATTGGAAATTTACCCTGAAAGATGAAAATCTGCCCTAAAAAAGAGAAAAAGGGGAAATGAACCCCAGAAAAAAGTGGAGAACCCCAGAAAGTTGGGAATCAACCTCAAAAAGCAGGAAATGGAACTGAAAACGCAGGAAATTGATCTCAAAATGAGAGGAATTAACTCCAAATGCTGGGAAAACACATCAGAACAGTGGAAAAATCCCTAAAAAGGTGGGAATCGACCCCAAAAAGCTGGAAATGCGCCTCAAAAAGCTAAGCACCGCCCCAAAAAGATGGAAAAGCAGCTGAAAATCACAGAATTCTGCCCCAAAAAGGAGGAAAACCACCCCAAAGAGCTGGAAAACAACAGGAAAAAGGGGAAATCGACCTCGAAGAGCTGGAAATTGACCCCAAAAAGATGGAAAATGGCCTCGAATCCCAGGAAATGGCCCTCCAAAAGCTGGGAATAGGCCCCCAAAAGCAGGAAAAGCACCCCAAAAAGCCGGGAATCGACCCTAAAACGATGGAAAACCGCAGGAAAAGGAGAGAAAACCCCAAAAATGGGAAACCAACTCCGAAACCCCCCGAAATCAACCTCGAAAAGCTGGAAAATGACCCAAAAACCTGGGAATTGTCCCCAAAAAAGGGTCCCAGGGACCCCCCAAGGGACACTGGGGGAAGCCACAGCTCCCCCTCCCCCTCCAATGCCATTCCAGTGACCTCATTTATTAATTAATGAATTAATTAGTTTAATTAACAGCAGGGATGAGGATTTGGGGTCGCACACGTGAGGGGGAGGCACAACCCCTGAGCCCCCACCCCAAATTTTTTAATTTAAAACTGAATTTAAGCCATTAACGAGCCAAAATCTGCCATTTCCAACAGTTTTTCCCCAAAAATTCATTAATTTTTTTTGTTAATTAACGAGCAGAACGAGGGGCCGTGGGGGCTTTTCAACCACAGCCCTCCTCCCCCCAAGTTTAATTAACCAGGGGTTAATTAACAAGCTGCCACTTAAGGAGGAGCCACATTTGGGGGTGTCACACCCCCCCCAACTCAGGCCATAATTAAACCCTCTGACTAACGAACCAACCATTAATTAACACCTCATTAATTAAGGCCAATCCCCCTCTTAATGACCCAACGCTCATTGACCCCAATCCGGGTGTCCCCCCCCCTTCCTGGGGGGGGTTTCAGGCTCTGACATCATTAATCACCACTAATTAAAGCTTAATTATGACCCAGTTTCCTTAACGAGGACAGGGGGGAGGAGCTGGGGAGGTTTTTTGGGGTTAAAACCTCTCAAAAATTTCAATTTTTGGGGGTGAAAACCCCCCTGAAATTTCAGTTTTTAGGGTGGGGGCAGCACCCAGAGCTGGGGTTCGTTAAGCGCTCCCCCCCCAGCGTTAATTAATTAAAGGATGCAGCCCCCAATTATGAGAATTAATTGGGGGGGGGTCAGCAAAGCCACCCCTCTGCAAAAACACAAGAAAACGTTAAACCAGCACAAACCTCCCCAAAAAATGAGGGGGAACCCCCAGATTTGGAGATTTAACCCCAAATTTTCACTGTAACCTTTGACCTCCCCCCCCAAAATCAACAGGGGGGGGGGAGAGGTCCTGCAGTGGGGGAGGGGCAAAACCCCCTCCCCCCCAAAGGATTTGTGGGTCCCCCTCCTCATTTTTGGGGTCCCACAGAGGCAAAGCCCCCCCTAAATGAGCTGGGGGACCCCAAAATCCCCCCAAAAATGGGGAAAAAATCCCATTTTTAACAGGGAAGGACAATTCCCAACCCATTAAATTGGGGGGGGGGGACATGGGGTGTGTCAAGGCCTGACCCCCACCCACCCCAAAATTAGGATTTTACAGCATTTTTGACTCATTTTACCCCCAAAAAAGGCGATTTTTGGGGGGGGGAAATTTAGGGGGGGCTGCCCGTGTACCCCCCCCAATAGGAAATGCTACCACTGGGTACAAAATGGAATTTTGGGGGGGATTAATGCCAAATAAATGGGTTTACTCCCCAAAAATCTGAATTCTCCAAAGGGATCTCTGCGGTTTTTTGCCCAAATCCGTGGAATTTGGGGGATTTAGGAAAAAAAAAAAAATAAAAAGGAAAAACCCAACTCCCGACTGCCGCATGCACCAGGAGAGGGAAAAGGGGAGGGGGGAAAAAAAGGGAATTCTGGAATGTTTTAAAAACCCTGGATCCAAAGGCCGTGAAATGGAATTAAGCCCAAAAATAAAAAAAAAAAAAATATTAAAATATTAAAAAAAAAAAAAAAGGATTATTTTGCTTACCCGGGTTGTGGCTGTTCCCTCCCTTTGCTGAGGTAAAGCTTCCTAAGCTGCAAAAACGGGGCAAAACCATTGAAAATCGGGAAAAAAATGGAGTTTTGGGGGTGTTTTCCCTCCCAAAATTCCTATTTTTTTTTGTTTTGGTTTTGTTTTGGTTTTTTGTTTTGGGTTGTGTGAGGAAAAGGGGGGGCCAAGGCCAGTGGTAGCATTTCCCTGTGGCGATAAATTCAAAATTATTAAAGGCTCCAGGACACTGCTCCCCCCCTCCCAAAATTCCCCCAAACCCCCCTGAAATCCCCCCCAAAAAAAGCAGGAAAAAGGAACAGAGAAAAGAGGAAAAAATAAAATAAAAATTAAAAATCCTGTGGAAAAAAAAAAGAAGGAAAAAAAAGAGAATTTTGCGGGTCCTGCGGGTTGAAGGTTGGGGTTAAAAAAAAAAAAAAAAAAGGATTTTGGGAAAAGGGGGGGGCAAAAAAAGGGGGAAAAATGGAATTTTAAGGGGGGGCCCCCACGGTGGGAGGGGCATCAACGGCGAGGCCTCGGCGCCATTTTAGAGCTGGGAAACAACAAAATAAAAAAAAAAATCCCCCAAATTGGGGGGGTTTGAGGGGTTTTTTTAGGAATTTTTAAGGAATTTTGGGGGGGGTTTAGAAAGAGGGGGGTGAGGGTGGCAAACACAGACACAATCGACAAAGAGAAATCTGTTAAATCCCCCTTTTCCCACCACCAAAATCCTCCAAAAAAACGCCAGGATTGGGATTAAACACCCCCAAAATTCACCGTGGGGG